CTCCTGGCACTGTTCTACCTGCCTCGCACAGGCTAGCCTTTGAGTTTCTCACAACACTCTGTGGCAAGAGCTGGCGTGGTCTTTGTGTCATAGAGGAAATGGCTGTGGCATGCAGAGTCCCTAACCTGTCTGTGGCTGCACAGCTGTTGGGGTGGAGCCAGGACTGAATCTGGCACCAGAGCTCCAGAGCCCGCCCATGAACTTAAGGGGCCTTTTCCAAACGCTGCCAAATCTTCCCATCAGCTGGAAGGTGTCCTTGCTCCAGGAGGTGATTATGTAAGGAAGCGTGAGAGACTGCGCACAGGCTCAGTGCCACACGGGAGAGACTGAGCGAGGCTCACTGCCACGTGTGACAGATTGAACACAGGCTCATCCCCACACACTGAAAACAACTCAAAGATACCCTTCTTCAGGGGAGCCCGTCCCTGCTTTCACACCCACTTCACCATTGGTTGAGTTTGGGTCCAACCGAGTCTTGTCATTATTTTATACCCTACAGGATGTACATGGTTAACCATCTGCACTGGGGTGAACAGGCGTGACTTTCTAATAGGAAGTGGTAATTCAGCATCTTGCTTTCGGCCAATTCAAGTTTCTTACTGTCTTTTTCTTAATGACCATTAGAAATTGCATCTTGTTGACAGAAGGATCATCGCCTTGGTAATGTCGGGGCCTGGAGGACCGCTCTGGGGAGTGTGAGCGAACGATTCACGAGGGACCCCAGCATTTCCTGAGGTGAGCACGCCCAGTCCCCTTCAGCTTTTCATTCAGAGGCTTCCGAACTTCTTTGATACCCTAGTCTGAGATAGGAATGTTAGACGTGGAACTGATTTTTACTGGTAAATATTCCAGAATGCTGGCATATTGCCTGCGTTTACGCTTAATAAAATATTCTTACTTTCCTAAATGCATTGCCCTTATGGTTTTAGTAAGAAGACTATATTTTCCCTCTAAGTGTACAGTAATGATTTTATTACGGCCGCTTTCCCTCTAAGTGTACA